CCCAAAGAATGATGTTTCCACCTCCATGCTTCACGGTTGGGATGGTGTTCTTGGGGTTGTACTCATCCTTCTTCTTCCTCCAAACACAGCGAGTGGAGTTTAGACCAAAAAGCTCTATTTATTGTCTCATCAGACCACATGACCTTCTCCCATTCCTCCTCTGGATCATCCAGATGGTCATTGGCAAACTTCAGATGGGCCTGGACATGCGCTGGTTTGAGCAGGGGGACCTTGCGTGCGCTGCAGGATTTTAATCCATGACGGCGTAGTGTGTTACTAATGGTTTTCTTTGAGACTGTGGTCCCAGCTCTCTTCAGGTCATTGACCAGGTCCTGCCGTGTAGTTCTGGGCTGATCCCTCACCTTCCTCATGATCATTGATGCCCCACGAGGTGAGATCTTGCATGGAGCCCCAGACCGAGGGTGATTGACCGTCATCTTGAACTTCTTCCATTTTCTAATAATTGCGCCAACAGTTGTTGCCTTCTCACCAAGCTGCTTGCCTATTGTCCTGTAGCCCATCCCAGCCTTGTGCAGGTCTACAATTTTATCCCTGATGTCCTTACACAGCTCTCTGGTCTTGGCCATTGTGGAGAGGTTGGAGTCTGTTTGATTGAGTGTGTGGACAGGTGTCTTTTATACAGGTAACGAGTTCAAACAGGTGCAGTTAATACAGGTAATGAGTGGAGAACAGGAGTGCTTCTTAAAGAAAAACTAACAGGTCTGGGAGAGCCGGAATTCTTATTGGTTGGTAGGTGATCAAATACTTATGTCATGCAATAAAATGCAAATTAATTACTTAAAAATCATACAATGTGATTTTCTGGATTTTTGTTTTAGATTCCGTCTCTCACAGTTGAAGTGTACCTATGATAAAAAAATTACAGACCTCTACATGCTTTGTAAGTAGGAAAACCTGCAAAATCGGCAGTGTATCAAATACTTGTTCTCCCCACTGTATAAGACATTCACTTCTCCATTCGTCGTAAACTATATCCTATTTATCTTGTAATCAACTAAAATCATAGCCACACAATGAAACCATCACTCCGCCATTATCAGAATGAATGAGATCTAGTCAACTATCCTTTCTAAGTAGGTTACAAGTAACACCAAACACTTGCTGTAGTTTACCATCATATATTGAAATCATCCATTTATCACGATCCAATTTATTTATAGACATATTCCACCATTCTCACTCATTTAATCTAGCAAAACCTTATTCAATGCCCCCAAAAAATTACTACCACGCACTCATCTCTCCATACCTGTTAACGTTTTTACATTTTAGTCATTTAGCTGACGCTCCTATCCCGAGCGACCCACAATTAGTGAGCTCATACATTTTTTATACTTATACTAGCCCCCCTTGGGAATCGAACACACAACCCTGGCGTTGCAAGCACTATTCTCCACCAACCAAGCTACAAGAGTCCTGCTATTTAAACCACACACGCTTCAAATCACACATTCAACCAAATACTCCGTCGTACCCATTCAATCAACACATCAGCAGTGGAATTTACACTCATAAATGCAGATTGAAAATGTAAATGTTACTCCATGCCATTGAAATGATAAATAAATTCCACAAATAGCGCCATTACAATGATTTCTCATCTTACCCTCTGATACAAAATGAAGTTCCATCACTTTACTACGTTAGCTCTACCATGATAATTACCCTATATTGGCTTTGTACTATATTTATACATTACGTCTAAAACAACATTACTCACGGTGAGTTTATTCCATAAATCTTATATCAATCACATTATCCAACTATGGTACAAACTTAGAAAACCCATATTAATTACTTTTCCACCACGACCTACGTCTACGTTTGGGTGAGCAAGTTTAATACAAACATGACACTCTAATTATGACATTGTCATTACTATTTCCACATCGTCACAACTCCATATAGAACGTTAGAAACGTATAGATACTCACATCAAATAATCCTTTAGTTAGTTTAACAATCCTCATTCAACCCAAATCAGCCTCTCCTTCATTCTCTCAGCGGAACCAAAAAAAAAAAAGGAAAACAGACTGTAATGTCCAAGGACACTGCCGTTCCTGTCCCAGAAAACACAGACTTTCCACTACTCTCTAAAATAACATCAAGCTCTATTTACCCCTTTTAACTACTCTCCTGAGGATATTCAATATCACCTCTATGCTTACCTATCACTATTATTATTTCATGCAATGTTAGTAACATTCAATGTTAGTAATTAAACACTTGCATCAAATATCCACTTCTGATAATGTATTAAAATTTAGTTCCTATTTGTCGTTTTTGGTGCTATGATTCAATATGTTACTTGTCATTGGCTCCCTCTCCTAGCCATTTTGAGTACATCATTAACATTTTAATTCAAAAGGGCCTTAAACACACTCATTCATAGTGGGTTTTTTAACCATTCTGATTTAAACATCACAATAAAGAATTCCTGATCTGTTGGGGCCTCGAACCTCCCACCTCTGCACTAAGGACTGTAACCTTCAACTGTAGGCCTCAAACCTACACCAAAACATTTTTCATGAGGGGCTCTTTTCCTCAGTGTCAGATGTAAACATACACAACCTTCCCTACAAAGAAGGAGTCTGTTCCAACATCAATACAGGGCGGCCATTAGCCATTTAATCCCTCCAGCACACAACAGCCAACAGTGGCTTGCGAAAGTATTCACCCCCCTTGGCATTTTTCCTATTTTGTTGCCTTACAACCTGGAATTAAAATGGATTTTTTGGGGGTTTGTATCATTTGATTTACACAACATGCCTACCACTTTGAAGATGCAAAATATGTTTTATTGTGACACAAACAAGAAATAAGACAAAAAAAACAGAAAACTTGAGCGTGCATAACTTTTTCTTTGTATAACCCAACCCTGATCTGTACTTCTCCACAACTTTGTCCCTGACCTGTTTGGAGAGCTCCTTGGTCTTCATGGTGCCGCTTGCTTGGTGGCGCCCCTTGCTTAGTGGTGTTGTAGACTCTGGGGCCTTTCAGAACAGGTGTTTATATATTGAGATCATGTGACAGATCATGTGACACTTAGATTGCACACAGGTGGACTTTATTTAACAAATTATGTGACTACTGAAGGTAATTGGTTGCACCAGATCTTATTTAGGGGCTTCATAGCAAAGGGGGTGAATACATATGCACGCACCACCTTTCCGTTATAAATTTTTTAGAATTTTTTGAAACAAGTAATTTTTTTTTATTTCACTTCACCAATTTGGACTATTTTGTGTATGTCCATTACATGAAATCCAAATAAAAATCCATTTAAATTACAGGTTGTAATTTAATAGGAAAAACACCAATGGGGATGAATAATTTTGCAAGGCACTGTACATGAGGAGAGAGATCCCATTAGCCCTCTGTCTGTTTCTAAACAGCTAATGCATCAGGAAGTGGTGCAGGCAGGCCCTGACTAATACAGCCTCAACAAGGGCTCCTTTTGGGAGTGGCCGCAGCCAGTTGCCTGGTTTGACACTACAATTTTTGGAAACTGAAACAAAAGTTTGGATGTTAAGGGGTGAATCCGTTTTAGACCAGTGTGCATAACTAAAAAAATATCTTATTGATAGCGATGCACGATTTACATGAGTTTTTGTGTGTACATATCCATACAAGTTAGGATTCAGCCCTCAGTTACTATAACATGCTGAATATAATGCTGAAAGCATATACTGTACTCAAAAACAATAGAGAAAGTGAACTTTGAGAGTATATCCAAAAATACATTAAACTAGTACATTAAGACCCCAAACTATTATGCATGTGATGAGGTGGTGTTGAAGGAGTCAGGCGCAGGAGGGTAAATCACAGAATAACAGGCTTTAATCCGCAAAATACAGGTTTACGCAGAACTGCGTCAAACGCACTCCAGGGCACAAAACAGGTGCACTGGAAAATACAAGGCACACGGGAAAATACTAACGTCGAACAAAATACACGCGCTCCACTAACCTTCACAATAAACAATCACCCACAAGGACAAGGGGGCAGAGGGAACACTTATACACGGACTAATTAGGGGATTCGAACCAGGTGTGTGTGATAACGAGACAAGACAATTGTGATGATGATTGGGGCAGCAGTGGTTAGTACTCCGGTGACGACGAATGCCGAAGCCTGCCCGAACAAGGAGGGGAGGCATCCTCGGCCGAAGTCGTGACAGTACCCCCCCCCCCCCCCCCCCCCCCCCCCCCCCGATTCCTGCTGGGGTCACATATTCTAAAATGTATGCATAGTCTACTAAAAGTCGCTTTGGATTCAAACGTATACACTAAATGGCATATATTATTATATTAATTTACTGTAAAAATAAAAATCCCGGTTATAGACATGCATGCTTTACCAAGAAGAACACTGCAAATGATACTTATACTGTAATACTGTAATAACCAAACTGCTTTAGAAATCACTTCAACTTCTTTTTTTTATCACTCCATAATCAAATCATGACAGAACCAAAGTGCCTGATTGAGCACTTAGTCCAGAGATAAAAGCCCTCGTTAGTCCAGCGATATGAGCCCTTGTTGATGCAGAACATTGGTGCTTTGACAAAAGTGCTGTACAGATTTCATCCAGTAATGTAAATATCCTAATATGATCTGCCCAGGATGAGTGTGTTTGCCCACCAAAACCTGTCTCATATAGCCTAGAATCTAAACTAAGTAATCTTGTCCAAGCCAGAATAGCAGGAGCCTATCTCCTGTTTCTGTAGCGTGAAGCAGCTCAATGTACAAGAACACCCTTGGACAGGATGCTAGTCTATCGCAAGGCCTTACCCCCAATCCATCTCCTTAATGCTTAACAGTCTTTGGTATGACATGACCAAGGTTCAAACCACCTACCTTCTAATTTCAGGGCATACCCTCTAACCACAAGGCCAATCCAAACTGATATGCTCCATTTAATGGGGAAACAGCATATTAGTTAGGATTGCAGGCTCGTATGTCTCACTTTCCCCCATTGTGTTCTCCAATAGATCTACAGCTACGAGGATCTAATGAGCGACATCCCGGACGAGCGCTTCTACGCGCGTCTGTACTGGAATGGCAGCAAGAAGACCAAGGACCTGCAGGACGGCTCCATCTACATCCTGAACGTGACGTGGAACGACACGGGCACCTACCGCTGCTCCTTCAACCGCATCCTCACCTTCCGCTCCTACGAGTTCCAAACCAACGCCACCAAGATCGTCCACCTCAACGTGGTGCCAAGATGTAAGGCTTTGGGTTCACAGGGTTAGGCTTAGGCCTTGACACAAATGAACACACACAAACAAACACACATACACACACAGTATAGTAGACACACACCCTCATCTGGAGATAGGGGAGAGGGAGAGAGGAGGGGAGAGAGATGGTGGAAGAGGGAAAGAGTACACTAAGATTACCCTCATGAAAGTAGTGCCATGATATAGGCTTACTTACACCCTACATGGGGAGGGTGAAGAGTTGGAGGGGAGAGAGAATGGTGGGGTAGGGGGGGAAGGGGAGGGGTAGAGGGAGGGAAGGAAGGAAGGGAAGAAGAGAGGAGGAGAGTGGACCGACACTCAATGTCCATGCCTGAATTGACAAAAGTGGCAATATTGTCAGAGCGGATGATTTACAAGGTGCATGAGTCATATGATTTTGATTTAGGGTCAGGGTTAGATGGCCCATGATAAATTGGACCATGTTTCAAAATGGAAGCATTGATATCAAAATCAAGGATATATGACAGGAAACAGTCATACATGTCATTACCTGTCTTTACCTACACAGCTGTTGATGGATGGTTAGTAGTAGTAGCCCTGTCACAGAAGCCGTCACAGCTGTCATTAATTCTCAGATTTCCTAATCCAAAGGCTCAGCCACAGCCACGCCAATGATTATCCAACACATCACTGTCAATGACAGCTGACCATTAAGGAGATACTGTATCAAGAGAGACATACAGTAGAGATATACATAGAGACATAGATACAGTGCCTTCAGAAAGTATTCACACCACTTGACTTTTTCCACATTTTGTTGTGTTATTTTAAATATATTAAATATAGTTTTTTTGTCACTGGCCTACACACAATACCCCATAATGTCAAAGTGGAATCATGTTTTTAGACATTTCTACAAATTAATAAAAAATGAAAAGCTGAAATTGTTTGAGTCAATAAGTATTCAACCCCTTTGTTATGGCAAGCCTAAATAAGTTCGGTAAAAATTGGCTTAACAAGTCACATAATAAGTTTCATGGACTCACTCTGTCTGCAAAAAGTGTTTAACATGATTTTTGAATAACTACCACATCTCTGTACGCCACACATATAATTATCTGTAAGGTCCCTATTAATTAATTGGATGGTGTATCAATACACCCAGTCACTAAAAAGATACAGGCATCCTTCCTAACTCAGTTGCCAGAGAGGAAGGAAACCGCTCAGGGATTTCACCATGAGGCCAATGGTGACTTTAAAACAGTTACAGAGTTGAATGGCTGTAATAGAAGAAAACTGAGGATGGACTAACCTAAATGTCATAGTGAAAAGAAGGAAGCCTGTACAGAAAAAAATATTCCAAAACATGCATCCTGTTTGCAATAAGGCACTAAAGTAAAACTGCAAAAAGAATGTGGCAAAGAAATTAACTTTATGTCCTGAATACAATTATGTTTGGGGCAAATCCAACACAACACATCACTGAGTACCACTCTTCATATTTTCAAGCATGGTGGTGGCTGCATCATGTGATGGGTATGATTATCACCGGCAAGCACTAGCAAGTTTTTCAGGGTAAATAAATAGAGCTAAGCACCGGCAAAATCCTGGAGGAAAAACTGGTTCAGTCTGCTTTCCTACAGAATTCACTTTTCAGCAGGACAATAACCTAAAACACAAGGCCAAATGTACACTGGAGTTGCTTACCAAGACATCAATGAATTTTCCTGTGTAGCTTAGTTAGTTACAGTAACACAGGCGGTAACACAACAAAATGTGGAATAAGTCAAGGGGTATGAATACTTTCTGAAGGCACTGTACATACATACATACAGATACCTACTGTACTGCTTTAATGGACCTGCATTTGGATGAAGGATTTTTCTCCTCAAGAGAGGAGAGGTCAAAGACTTCCAAGAGCTAAATTGCTTTCATAATCCTAAGTAATTTTTTTAAAGCTTCCACAAAGGTTGATGCAGTGTCTCTAGAATCAATCAATCAATTTTATTTTATATAGCCCTTCGTACATCAGCTAATATCTCGAAGTGCTGTACAGAAACCCAGCCTAAAACCCCAAACAGCTAGTAATGCAGGTGTAGAAGCACGGTGGCTAGGAAAAACTCCCTAGAAAGGCCAAAACCTAGGAAGAAACCTAGAGAGGAACCAGGCTATGAGGGGTGGCCAGTCCTCTTCTGGCTGTGCCGGGTGGAGGTTATAACAGAACCATGCCAAGATGTTCAAAAATGTTCATAAGTGACAAGCATGGTCAAATAATAATCAGGAATAAATCTCAGTTGGCTTTTCATAGCCGATCATTAAGAGTTGAAAACAGCAGGTCTGAGACAGGTAGGGGTTCCATAACCGCAGGCAGAACAGTTGAAACTGGAATAGCAGCAAGGCCAGGCGGACTGGGGACAGCAAGGTGTCAGCATGCCCGGTAGTCCTGACGTATGGTCCTAGGGCTCAGGCTCTCAGAGAGAAAGAGAGAACGAGAGAATTAGAGAGAGCATACTTAAATTCACACAGGACACTGGATAAGACAGGAGAAGTACTCCAGGTATAACCAACTAACCCCAGCCCCCCGACACATAAACTACTGCAGCATAAATACTGGAGGCTGAGACAGGAGCGGTCCGGAGACACTGTGGCCCCATCCGAAGAAACCCCCGGACAGGGCCAAACAGGAAGGATATAACCCCACCCACTCTGCCAAAGCACAGCCCCCGCACCACTAGAGGGATATCCTCAACCACCAACTTACAATCCTGAGACAAGGCCGAGTATAGCCCACAGAGGTCTCCACCACAGCACAAACCAAGGGGGGGCGCCAACCCAGACAGGAAGATCACGTCAGTAACTCAACCCACTCAAGTGACGCACCCCTCCTAGGGACGGCATGAAAGAGCACCAGCAAGCCAGTGACTCAGCCCCTGTAACAGGGTTAGAGGCAGAGAACCCCAGTGGAGAGAGGGGAACCGGCCTGGCAGAGACAGCAAGGGCTGTTCGTTGCTCCAGAGCCTTTCCGTTCACCTTCACACTCCTGGGCCAGACTACACTCAATCATATGACCTACTGAAGAGATAAGTCTTCAGTAAAGACTTAAAGGTTGAGACCGAGTCTGCGTCTCTCACATGGGTAGGCAGACTGTTCCATAAAAATGGAGATCTATAGGAGAAAGCCCTGCCTCCCGCTGTTTGCTTAGAAATTCTAGGGACAATTAGGAGGCCTGCGTCTTGTGACCGTAGCGTACGTATTGGTATGTACGGCAGGACCAACTCGGAAAGATAGGTAGGAGCAAGCCCATGTAACGCTTTATAGGTTAACAGTAAAACCTTGAAATCAGCCCTTGCCTTAACAGGAAGCCAGTGTAGGGAAGCTAGCACTGGAGTAATATGATCAAATTTCTTGGTTCTAGTCAGGATTCTAGCAGCCGTATTTAGCACTAACTGAAGTTTATTTAGTGCTTTATCCGGGTAGCCGGAAAGTAGAGCATTGCAGTAGTCTAACCTAGAAGTAACAAATGCATGGATTAATTTTTCTGCATCATTTTTGGACAGAAAATTTCTGATTTTTGCAATGTTACGTAGATGGAAAAAAGCTGTCCTTGAAACAGTCTTGATATGTTCGTCAAAAGAGAGATCAGGGTCAAGAGTAACGCCGAGGTCCTTCACAGTTTTATTTGAGACGACTTTACAACCATCAAGATGAATTGTCAGATTTAACAGAAGATCTCTTTGTTTCTTGGGACCTAGAACAAGCATCTCTGTTTTGTCCGAGTTTAAAAGTAGAACGTTTTCAGCCATCCACTTCCTTATGTCTGAAACACAGGCTTCTAGCGAGGGCAATTTTGGGGCTTCACCATGTTTCATTGAAATGTACAGCTGTGTGTCATCCGCATAGCAGTGAAAGTTAACATTATGTTTTCGAATAACATCCCCAAGAGGTAAAATATATAGTGAAAACAATAGTGGTCCTAAAACGGAACCTTGAGGAACACCGAAATGTACAGTTGATTTGTCGGAGGACAGACCATTCACAGAGACAAACTGATATCTTTCCGACAGGTAAGATCTAAACCAGGCCAGAACTTGTCCGTGTAGACCAATTTGGGTTTCCAGTCTCTCCAAAAGAATGTGGTGATCGATGGTGTCAAAGGCAGCACTAAGGTCTAGTAGCACGAGGACAGATGCAGAGCCTCGGTCTGACGCCATTAAAAGGTCATTTACCACCTTCACAAGTGCAGTCTCAGTGCTATGATGGGGTCTAAAACCAGACTGAAGCATTTCGTATACATTGTTTGTCTTCAGAAAGGCAGTGAGTTGCTGCGCAACAGCTTTTTCTAAAATGTTTGAGAGGAATGGAAGATTCGATATAGGCCGATAGTTTTTTATATTTTCCGGGTCAAGGTTTGGCTTTTTCAAGAGAGGCTTTATCACTGCCACTTTTAGTGAGTTTGGTACACATCCGGTGGATAGAGAGCTGTTTAGAATGTTGGGTTTAGCAGCAAGCTTAGTCAGCTCACCCACTGCTTGAGGTCATTCCAACAGTTTTAGTTGAGATTAATGTTGACCTTGAAAAACTGGGCCATTTCCAGTGAAACACTGAACCCTTGTGGATGTCTGGGGATAATTGTTTCATCCTGTTTTATAGGAGGCATCAGAAACTCAGAAACCCTTATCTTTTCATTGAAACAGCTTCTAATTTATTAATAATTAATTTATCCCAAGGCGGTCTCTTTCTTAACCACTCCTCTCTCTCTCTAGTGACCAGGGGGTTAGCGTCCATCTTGTCTGAGGTGATGATGTATGTCACCATCATTGGGCTGCAGGTATGGCTGGTGGTGGAGATGATTTACTGCTACAGGAAGATATCAGCACAAGGCGAGGAAGCATTGAGAGAGAGCGCGTGAGTAGACACAAACACACACACAGGTACAATTCATTGCAGACACACGCACAAGAGCACACTCACTTACACACTTTTTCCTCAATCTTCCTCTGAAAATGTTATTTTCTTGCTATGTAATTTCCTAGCTAAAACTGCTACTTTCGAACTGCCTCTTCTCTCTCTTGCACTATTCTCTATTATCTTTCTAACTGCCTCTCTATCTCTTATTCCTCACCTTTTCCCTCCTCACCGGTCTTCCTTTTCTCTCTCTCCTTCTCAGGGAGGAGTACTTAGCTATAGCTTCGGAGAGTAAAGAGAACTGTGCAATGGTGGCAGTGGCAGAATAGCACTGGTAGGTTTCCCCTCCTACTAATCCATAACTGGACTCTTGGCCGTTCGTTGTCTGTTCTTTCCTTCCTTTCCTCTTGTTCTGTCACTGATGTGAACTCATATCAGCACCCAGAACCAAATCACCTACATTTGAATTTTAAAGGGGAAGTTCAGGATTTTACAACTTGATATTAGATGGTTTCTCCCCCTAAAATAAATCCAGGAGAAACTGTAAAATCCTAAACTTCCCCTTTAAGGTGGTCACAAGATGACTAGTGGACTCATGGCATCTCCATGTTTTCTTACAAGCTTCGTTTTCATTTCAGGTTAAAGAATGGCTCCAAATGACGAATAGCTCTCGATAGCCCTTCAACACTTCTCCACTTCACCCCTTCTTCCGACTTCCATTATGACACCATCTCATTACCCCATCCTCCCCCATCTAGGAGGACAAGCAGCCGAGAAGAGGAGAGGAACATTCCATCAAGGAAGACGTCAAGGACCATGGAGGAACACATAACATTCATTGATAGTGCAAGATGTTTTTTTTTCCATTTCCAGAGAACAGACGGATGAGAAGTGAAACAGCCAATGAAAAAGGACTTTACTGTAGTTAAATGCAAATATACAGCATGGGTGTACTATCTAGCAGTACTATAATATCAAAGAGAGTTGTATATACAGTATGTATGCTTAATTATACAATCCAAATCTTCATTATAATGTATGAGTATTACAATAAGTTAGTTCATACATAGTATTGTACATTCAGTATAGCTGCACGTTTAGTGATACATCATAAACTATTGGCATTAAAAATGTTTCTAAAGGTCATTTTCATGATTCTAAAGTGTGCTTGTATCAAAGCAATTAGCGGTCAGAACTCAACTGCAATCTTGCCAAATGGCTTTAGTAGATTATGCTCAAATCCAGCCTACCGGTATATTCAAAAACATTCCAAGAAAACCTTAAGAAAGTTATGTATTCAGGTTAGTGAAACGAGTGCCCTGAGAAGTAGAAGCCTATTTCTACCAGTAAGGTTTAAAGCATAAATGTTCCAGTAATGTTACCAATAGTCTTAGATGGGGCTCACTCAAACTCAAAAAGTACATAAAGCACATTAGTATCATGGCACATTCACTATCCAGTATCTAGTATAGGACTCAGGTCCGTACATAGTTAGCTACAGTCCTTCTCTATTAATGAAATGGAGTCATTTTCATGTAACCGGCTAGTCTCATTGAGATTTTGCAAGAGAAACTGATGGTTGTGATTTGATGTACATTAATTTGGACATCAGCTTGTGAGGGTTGCTTATGTCAGACGATTTAAGGTAATTAACATTGTCAATTCCTCACAAAGCTATAATTATCCACCAATGTATCCTTCTAGAAAGTGTCTCAGAGTTTCGAGAGAGAACGATGCCCACAATATAGCAGTGTCCTTTTTAATGTTTAAACTATCATTCTACCGTTGATGTGACTGGAAACCTCAACATGCAACATCCGAACATTATACATATATTTATTGCAGTGTAATTGCATTCTCTCCATTTTTCATCAACGCTTTATTTGCTAGATTTTCCTTACCATATTTACAACAACCAAGGGTTTGTGATATTAGCTACCATTTTACTGCCGTGGGAAACTGTACCACAATTTGTCCAGTGTGCCGAGGGCAGGAATGTCTGTGACTGGTCGAAAACCTGAAATGGTTTAGACTCTAAACTGGTTTAAACAAGTTATTTCATGAAGATACCTAATGTGAGCAGAAACTATACTATATACAGTGTTGGCTTAGTGCTCATATCAATCCCTATGGAGCAGAATACAGTGAGCTGCTATTGAAATACTGACATCCCTGTCATTCCTATTTGGCAGTCAATTCTGATTTATACCTCCAGGGGCAGCATAACACTGCCTAATGTGCACTGCGATCTTGCATGCATACTTTCTTTTATAATGTCATTGGGATCTGGGTTTAACTACTAAGGGGGTCTGGGTTTGCTACATTTGAAGTACGGAAAAGTGAAAGAATAATAGGATTCTTATTGTATGATAACTGCCACATATGAACAAAGGATAATTAATTAGAATTAATGTTCAAGATTCTGCATTATTCGAAATTCCCTTTAAAAACCGTGTCGAAGCTGATTTGGTCAAATTAGAGTTTCTATTCACCTTTCACAGAATTTCTACATGCAATAGAGGAATATGTTGGAAAAAATAACGATCTTAAAACAGGTAATTATCTACTTCCGTTGTGATTAAAAATGTTCACTAAAGAGAGCTGCTCCAGTTTTCACTACTGTGGAAATGTTGCTTGCCAAAAGGGTTAGCTTTATACAATAATACAATTGTCATGTGAGAATGGAGTAGGCTGTATGTCTGGTGTATTAAATAAAAACAATGTCTACCTTGTCAGAATCTTATATTTGGGGAAATGTTTGTGGGAACAAACAAGACCCTCTTACACACGTGCACAGACACACACACACAGTGTAATATTATAATCTAAAGGGCATAGGGGCTACTGAAGGGGGGGCTCTTTTGTCACCATCATGTCACACCCTGTGGGGCAGAAATGGTCTGTTGTTCTAGCATGCAGTCACATGTTGTTTGGCTGTCACTGTGCTGTAGCTAACCTCATGATTGAGTACCTGACTGGAAACTGGTGATGCCACAGTGATGTAACATTTCCAGGGAATTGACCGGTTCACTGGGAGTCAGGAGGATCATATAGCAGATAGTGTAGTCTGTTGACCATGGCGTTGACCATGACTGACTTCAGCAGTGGTCAAACAAACTTTCCCTTATGATCTTTTAACACCACTCATTAAAAATTTACTTTTAACATAACGTACAAGGTGCCTGAGGGTGACCTTGCGGTTAAGGGCCCTGCCCTCTGCACATATACACCCCCACAACCCACCCACCCCACCCCACCCTTCTAGCTCGGACTCTATTGATAGCTACGTTGAGGAAAAATGTACTTTCTATGCCTGTGATATGTGGTTGCCCCACCTACAGTGGGGGGGAAAAAGTATTTAGTCAGCCACCAATTGTGCAAGTTCTCCCACTTAAAAAGATGAGAGAAGCCTGTAATTTTCATCATAGGTACACGTCAACTATGACAGACAAATTGAGGAAAAAAAATCCAGAAAATCACATTGAATTTATTTGCAAATTATGGTGGAAAATAAGTATTTGGTCAATAACAAAAGTTCCTCAATACTTTGTTATATACCCTTTGTTGGCAATGACACAGGTCAAAAGTTTTCTGTAAGTCTTCACAAGGTTTTCACACACTGTTGCTGGTATTTTGGCCCATTCCTCCATGCAGATCTCCTCTAGAGCAGTGATGTTTTGGGGCTGTCGCTGGGCAACACAGACTTTCAACTCCCTCCAAAGATTTTCTATGGGGTTGAGATCTGGAGACTGGCTAGGCCACTCCAGGACCTTGAAATGCTTCTTACGAAGCCACTCCTTCGTTGCCCGGGCGGTGTGTTTGGGATCATTGTCATGCTGAAAGACCCAGCCACGTTTCATCTTCAATGCCCTTGCTGATGGAAGGAGGTTTTCACTCAAAATCTAACGATACATGGCCCCATTCATTCTTTCCTTTACACGGATCAGTCGTCCTGGTCCCTTTGCAGAAAAACAGCCCCAAAGCATGATGTTTCCACCCCCATGCTTCACAGTAGGTATGGTGTTCTTTGGATGCAACTCAGCATTCTTTGTCCTCCAAACACGACGAGTTGAGTTTTTTACCAAAAAGTTCTATTTTGGTTTCATCTGACCATATGACATTCTCCCAATCCTCTTCTGGATCATCCAAATGCACTCTAGCAAACTTCAGACGGGCCTGGACATGTACTGGCTTAAGCAGGGGGACACGTCTGGTACTGCAGGATTTGAGTCCCTGGCGGCATAGTGTGTTACTGATGGTAGGCTTTGTTAGTTTGGTCCCAGCTCTCTGCAGGTCATTCACTAGGTCCCCCCGTGTGGTTCTGGGATTTTGTGACCCCACAGGGTGAGATCTTGCGTGGAGCCCCAGATCGAGGGAGATTATCAGTGGTCTTGTATGTCTTCCATTTCCTAATAATTGCTCCCACAGTTGATTTCTTCAAACCAAGCTGCTTACCTATTGCAGATTCAGTCTTCCCAGCCTGGTGCAGGTCTACAATTTTGTTTCTGGTGTCCTTTGACAGCTCTTTGGTCTTGGCCATAGTGGAGTTTGGAGTGTGACTGTTTGAGGTTGTGGACAGGTGTCTTTTATACTGATAACAAGTTCAAACAGGTACCATTAATACAGGTAACGAGTGGAGGACAGAGGAGCCTCTTAAAGAAGAAGTTACAGGTCTGTGAGAGCCAGAAATCTTGCTTGTTTGTAGGTGACCAAATACTTATTTTCCACCATAATTTGCAAATAAATTCATAAAAAATCCTACAATGTGATTTTCTGGATTTTCTTTCCTCAATTTGTCTGTCATAGTTGACGTGTACCTATGATAAAAATTACAGGCCTCTCTCATCTTTTTAAGTGGGAGAACTTGCACAATTGGTGGCTGACTAAATACTTTTCCCCCCACTGTAGCTATCTTAAGACGAATGCACTAATTAAGTCGCTCTGGATAAGAGCGTCTGCTAAATGACTCAAATGTACACTACCAGCCAAAAGATTGGACACACCTACTCACTCAAGGGTTTATCTTTATTTTTACTATTTTCTACACTGTAGAATAATAGTGAAGACATCCAAACTATTAAATAACACATATGGAATCATGTAGTAACCAAAAAAGTGTTAAACAAATCAAAATATATTTTATATTTGAGATTCTTCAAATAGCCAACCTTTGCCTTACGACAGCTTTGCACATTCTTGGCATTCTCTCAACCAGCTTCACCTGGAATGCTTTTCCAACAGTCTTGAAGGAGTTCCCACATATGCTGAGCACTTGTTGGCTGCTTTTCCTTCACTCTGCCGTCCGACTCATCCCAAACCATCTCAATTGGGTTGAGGTCGGGGGATTATGAAGGCCAGGTCATATGATGCAGCACTCCATCACTCTCCTTCTTGGTAAAATAGTCCTTACACAGCCTGGAGGTGTGTTGGGTCATTGTACTGTTGAAAAACAAATGATAGTCCCACTAAGCCAAAACCAGATGGGATGGTGTATCACTGCAAAATGCTGTGGTAGCCATGCTGGTTAAGTGTGCCTTGAATTCTAAATAAATCACAGACAGTGTCACCAGCAAAGCACCCCCACACCATAACACCTCCTCCTCCATGCTTTACGGTGGGAACTACACATGCAGAGATAATCCGTTCACCCACACCGCGTTTCACAAAGACAAAGTGGTTGGAACCAAAAATCTCAAATTTGGACTCCAGACCAAAGGACAAATTTCCACTGGTCTAATGTCCATTGCTCATGTTTCTTGGCCCAAGCAGGTCTCTTCTTCTTACTGGTGTCCTTTAGTAGTGGTTTCTTTGCAGCAATTCGACCTTGAAGGCCTGATTCACATAGCCCTCTCTGAACAGTTGATGTTGAGATGTGTCTGTGACTTGAACTGTGAAGCATTTATTTGGGCTGCAATTTCTGAGGCTGGTAACTAATTAACTGCAGCAGAGGTAACTCTGGGTCTTCCATTCCTGTGGTGGTCCTTATGAGAGCCAGTTTCATCAAAGCGCTTGATGGTTTTTGCGACTGCACTTGAAGAAACTTTCAAAGTTCTTCATGTCTTAAAGTAATGATGGACTGTCGTTTCTCTTTGCTTATTTGGTCCTCTGTAGCTCAATTGGTAGAGCATGGCGCTTGTAACGCCAGGGTAGTGGGTTCGATCCCCGGGACCACCCATACGTAAAAATGTATGCGCACATGACTGTAAGTCACTTTGGATAAAAGCGTCTGCTAAATGGTATATTATAATTATTTGAGCTGTTCTTGCCATAATATGGACTTGGTCTTTTACCAAATAGGGCTACCTTCTGTATACCCCCCTACCTTGTCACAACACAGCTGATTGGCTCAAACGCATTAAGAAGGAAAGAAATTCCACAAATTAACTTTTAAGAAGGCACACTTGTTAATTGAAATGTATTCCAGGGGACTACCTCATGAAGCTGGTTGAGAGATTGCCAAAAGCGTGCAAAGCTGTCATCAAGGCAAAAGGTAGCTTTTTGAAGAATCTCAAATATAAAATATATTTTGATTTGTTTAACACTTGTTTGGTTACTACATGATTCCATGTGTTATTTCATAGTTTTGATGTCTTCACTATTATTCTACAATGTAGAAAATAGTAAAAATAAAGAAAAATCCTGGAATGCATAGGTGTGTCCAAACTTTGGACTGGTACTGTAAATGTATATGTATCCTGGCGACTACCGGTCCTACGCTGCAACTCTCTTCTTTCCGTCTCCCCTTAATTTCATACAGTCTCTGTTATTAAACAATAAAATACAGGAGAGTTCAAGATCTCGCCTTTAAAAAAAACGACAAGGTATGAATTTCTCCATTAACTAACGGGTCCTCTGAAGCTCAGTTGGTACAGCAAGGCACTTGCAATGCCAGAATAGTGGGTTCGATTCCCGGGACCACCCGTAAGTATAACGTATGCACGCATGACTAAGTTGCTTTGGGTAAAAGCGGCTGCTAAATGCCAGATATTATGATGATATATTATCTAATAAAGGTAAGCAGTAGAGCTGGGGGTCACCCAATGACCGCCTTCAAAATTATAGAGATAGCAGGGCAGATCAATTCCTGTGAATGGATGAGATTAATAGATTGTAACAGTGTCTCCTGCTCCTTGGATAATGATGTAGGCCAGTAGATCAACTGTGTTTGTAAGTCAGTAGACAGTATCGATCTACAACAGGGGTGTCAAACATACGGCCCGCGGGCCGGATCAGGCCCGCAAACGGGTTTAATTCGGCCCGCGAGATGATTTAAAAATAAATAAAAAATAAAAATAAAAATTGGAAAGTATAAAAATGCGCTGCAATTTTTCAATAAAATAAACTGCTGTTCCAATTGCGTCCACTGGAGGGCGCAATAGCAATTGTGTTAAGCAAGCAAACTGTTTATACCGGGGCAGAGCAAGTAGGTCAAGCACATGCAGCCAATGAGCTACTTTGTTTTGCCCGCGATATTTATTACGGCTTCTACTTTTAACATTATGTGCTTTGGCACCCTCATTGCCCCAATATGTCTCTGTCAAAAAAGAGAAAAGTGGACGCAGAGTGCAGAGTGTTCCAAGAAAAATGGTCATCCTATTTAATCACGGAATTGAATGGGAAAGCTGTATGTTTGGTGTGTTCAGAGCATGTTGCAGTGCTGAAAGAATATAACCTTCGTCGCCACTATGTGAGTCTTCATGCCGAAAAATATGACAACTTTCAAGGACAGC